GTATTTTTAACTCTCCCTCCCCCCCCCTTTTTTTTTTTAATTTTTTTTTTTATTCTTTTGCTCAGTTAGATCAGCTCCTTTTGTCAGGATGAGTTTAAATCTGGGTCCACTGTGTTAATCACCCCCCCTTTCTTCTTTCTGGCACTTTCCCCTCCAGGCATTTTGCCTCTTTAGGAGATTAAGCGACCAAGTCATCTTGTTGCTCTAACATGTCCTCACTGGAGCAACATATTTAACACAACTCCTCTGCAAAAGAGCCCTCTTTAGAAGTTTGCTGCAGGGATGACAAATTAACCCAGCATGGTGTCCCACACATCTATCTCAGTACAAATTATTAGTGTAATAGAGCTTTTAGTTATGCATTTATCTAGTAATTATTGAACGGTTATAGAGAGGGAAGCTGAGCAATCGTGGCCCTTTATGAGGCGAGCTCGGTGGGTGGTCTTACAGTTAATTTAGGATAGGACTGTCTAAGCAGTTCACTCACACACAAATTAGCTGAACAGCCTGCTCCTTTAAATATTTCCTATGTCACAGGCTAACTCTTGACAATACAACAAAGGTAGAGTTTTAATTACACGGTCGCTGACTTTTGTTTAGCCGGAGCTTTAACCCTTTGCAGGGCTCCCTCTCTGCCCTCCCCGCCCGGGCTACAGGCGGTGGAAGTCTGGGGACTGTGTCATGGAGAAAGCCTGACCTTGAAGCCATCTGTTGGGAAACTGCTTTTCCTTCAGCACCAGGTTACTCCAAAGTGAGTGCAGAAAATCAAAATCTCCCCCTGCTCAGTCAGCTGTGATGACATTATAAACTGGATCATGTAAACTGCTCTGATGGTCAGTGTTGGGCTGTTTATGGCCTCACCTCAGCCTCCTCGCCCTTGTGGTGTGACTCTCTTGGCTCTCTGGCATCACCACCCTTTGCTCTGAGGTGTCTGTGTCAAGCTGCACAGGTTTGTTGTCAAAATTCAGAGGGAAGCAGGAGGTTATACCACTGTGCCAGCTGACAGCATCAAGAAGCAGCCACAGAGACTGGTACAGAACAGGACATTACAAAATGTCTTTTTACAATGTACACCATCACTTTGATTCACTTGGAGCTGGCTGACAGGACAGCGAGCAGGCACCAGGACTTTGGTGCAGGATTTTGATAGAGAAGGACACGGTATCTTTCCAGATATGTGACATTAAGGTTTTGCCACTTTGGCATGGACACAGAGTCCTGTGCTGCAGCGTTTCCCTGGCAGGCCTTGTCCTGATAAAAGTCTAAGTGGCAATGGTAATTATGGAGGAAATTAATATAATGGAAACCAGTCCACCAGTTGACTTTCATCCCTTCTTCTCACACACCCCCTTCCTTGGGTTCTTGCCTTCGTGCTGTATTTCTTGCTTCTTGTAATTGTGTTTCTCCTTCATTTATCTTCCAAACACACCATCTCATTGTTTTTTTGGGGGTTTTTTTCCCTTTCCTTGCCTTTTTTTCCTTGCTTTTTTGGCTTGCAGGATCCATGCTGTCATATTCCATGGGAATGCTTGAATGCTCTGCAGCACAGGCTGCTGTACATCCTGGCTTTACAAGATCGTGGTCAATTTAATGTTTCAGCCAGCTCCAGTTATAAAGTCACCAGAGTGTAAGTAGCAATGCATGGAAGCTTAAAACCACTTATGTAAATACTGCTGTCACCCATAGTATTTAAATCCTTCACTGTCTGGTGAAGAGTTCAAGTGGTCTGGGAAGCTTTGTGAGATGCCAGCAATCCACGATGGCTTTGCAGTGCTGGAGTGCTGTGGTGAGCTAAGCTGACCACCAAATAATCTCATTTGGAGGTAACAAAAGTATGCCTGAGTAGGAGAGAGATCTGGCTGCTCGAATTTTCAGGGCTTTGAAATAAATTCTAAAACTGATAGTGATGCTAAAGCCACCCTATAGGTGATCAATTTACCATCTGCCAGACACTGAATCCTAACCACGCTGGTCCAGAGAAGACATATGGTGCATTCATAGAGTCATGCCCAAAAAACTGCCATCATCAAGTGAGGCTCCATGAATCACTTTGCTAGCTTATCACCAAAGAAACTTGGATCTTGCCACCATCTGTTGGAAGTACTGAGGAGTCACTGAAGCATTGGCATCCCTGCGCCAGCACTCGCTGCACATCTGGTCTGCTGGTCAGCCAGCTCAGATCCTCTCTCCTGGCTACTGCCCAGCTGGGCTGGGCACTGCCAGCAGCACCAGTGCAGACAGCAACCAGAGCACAGCCTTCCCAGCACAGCACATCCAGACAATTCCATGGGAGCAGAGCTTTTCCAACTGGTTTGTTGGGTGGAGCACCTTAGAGCTAAGAAATCCTCTCAAGGATCTTCCTCCTCCTCCTCCTCCTCCTCCTCCAAGGAAGCTTTGTTTCCAGAATGACTCATTGTGGGGATCACAGGGAAGGACATTCAGGATCCTGGGACACCCCAGCACCAGAGGTGCAGTGTATTCCAAGGGATGTTTGGAAGCGTGTGAAAGATTCGGGAATATTCCCGAGAAGTTATAAATCGCTGGTTGTCAATGACAACACCTGCCACGAACAGTCTACAGCTTCTTCTCTGCTGTCTATTTTCATCATGCTTTACAAATGCATCTCATACACACATCCAAGTGACAAACTTGCACATACGAAGACGAGAAGGAGACGGAACCTCCTTGTGATCGAGCAGCTTACTCCGACCTACTTACTCACAACTCCCCTTCCTCCCAAATCTCTCTGCAGAATGGGGATTAAATCCTCCTCTTTGTTTTCCAGAGACCCCTAGCAATGACCTGCCCCTGACCATTTACATAATGCACCTGTGCCCAGAGGGAATTTAATTTAGCCTGTGTGTGCTGTACCATCATTTCTGCAGAGGCACAACTCCCAGCAACTACTGGTGGAAGTGAATCTCTCAATTATATCCTCTTATACGACAGCATTATACTCTTTATGTTGCCACTTCTGATACCTGAAAAGCTCCTCTCTTCTGCTTACTGTCCCTAAAGTACGCCAGAGGCGATGGGATAAAGAACAAAGCTGGATTTGCAGAAAATAATCCATCTCAGGGTATCACCCTTTACTAACAGAATGATTGTTGCAGCAGGGAAATAAACACAGCCAGTGTGCTGTGGAAGAAGAATACTGAGGAGGAATGTCCCAAAAGAACAAAGAATGAAATCTGGGACCAGATTTTTTCAGGATGATGGCACTTAAAGAAACCATGGATGGATTCAGAGGGATTTATTTTCCTGAAAGTTGGTGAGACTTTCTTTGTGAGCAGGCATAAAATAGAGGATGCTCCTAAATGGTGTTGCAGAAGAAGAGTTTTGGTTAACTTGTTAGGAACCGTGATGATTAAAAGCTGTGTTGCTTCTCTGTGGAGTCAGTAAAGAACATCTCCTTCCAAACAAACAAAATTTGGGACTGTAATAATTCTATTTGCTTTTCTGGCTCCCATTGAATGTTCTTCTCACGTAGCCAATGGAAATCCCTCAGTGCACAGAAAAAGTCTTGTGAAAACAGACTGTAGATGAGATTTAAACAAGGCCTCACCACTGAGACATTTCCTCTCTCAACCACACAAGAATCCAAAGCACAGAGGGTCTAAACAGGGGCAGACAAAGGCAGTCAATGATCTTAAAAAATTAGTGTGAGGTAAAACACAGCTAAATAAAGAAAGGCCTATTAACTAATCAATCAACAACTGAAATCTAAAAGGCTGAACTTCTAAAAGACAGGAATTGGGAGTCAGCTGATGTGCACTGAATAGAATGTTAATGGAAGCTTCATATTATTCATCCTTGTATCACCAATTATCAAGGCTTTTAAAAGAGGACATACTTGCCAGACAGCTCAGATCCAAATTTCAAGGGAAATCTCTACAGAGCTCAGATGCCTAAATATCTTCTGAGTATCTAGGTGTATGTCTAAGGGTAATGAATAATTTTTATGGATTAACCACAACAAATCAAACTACAATAAGCAGATTTAACAAAGCACAAAACCTCCTGAAGTGCAAGTCTGACCTTGCTTCAACTTTGTGCAACTCCACCATTTCTCACCACATCACCTGGATGTGCAGACAAAGAGGCTCCTCCTGGTTTATGCTGCCCTCAGTGAAACCACACTGATGCCAAACAGACATTTCCAAACAATTTCTTGGATGAATTGCTAATATGCCTTTTTATGCTTCACCATTCGACCAATTCCTTAATAATCTTCTCTAAATGAGACAAAATTTCAGAGCAGAAAAGAAACATGTCACAACCATTCATTCCTATTTTTGTATCTTCCAAAGAGGTTTGTAAGAGGATTCATTCATTTGTGTCTCTTACTATGCCCAAGTGAGCTCCTTTTCAAATGTGAACTCAGTATTGCATTTAGTTTTCTAGGCTAAATGCAAATGCATCTTTCTAACAGAAATGTATAAGCACATCTAGACCCAGAGGACATCTCTTTTACTTGGAAAGTCAGTCAGAAGAGTACTGGGAAGGAAACCAGCCAAAGAACTATTGCAGGAACCAACTTCAAAGGCGTCCCCCTAACAAGGCACACTGACACCAGCAGCACAAGAATAAATGACTGGCAGAAGGAAATCCACAGAGCTGGAAGACAGGCGTGGGTCACAAGTGATGGATGGGTCCCTGTCTCGAGCAGTTGGACCGAGTCAACGTGATGGATGGTCACAAGCAGAACACACTTCCCTGCAACACGCTCTGTCCCTTTCCCCACCCTCTTCCAACAAAACCCCAAGGCCCCAGACACCAGCGTTTCCACCTCGAGCGGTCATCGGGAGCTCTCCCAAGAGCAGCCCAGCCTAACAGAACCATCCTCTAGACACCTAAACCCTCCTGGGTGTGAAGGTTCTGAGCACAGCCCCTCGCTGGGCGGTCACAGCTGGCGATGGCTTTCCGTGGAGCGGCGCTGGCACGGCCACGGCTGCCGTGGCCACCCCTGGGTGCCTGGGGGCTCTCGGGAAAGGCCTCACCTCTGGGTCCTGTAATGACAGGTCGATGGTGCTGTGTGAAAGCCGTTCCAAGGGAGGAGGTCTGCGAAGGCGAGGGACTGCTGAAACCAGACTTCTCTGACTTCTTTAATGTAGTTGGCGATGGCATTCCTGGCAAGAATGATTGATAAGTGCAATTTAATAATGCTAGGTCATGGAACGACAGCCTATGCATTGTGAAAGGGGGTGCAGAAGCAGCTAGACACACTTAAAGGACAAAGGAAACGCAACACAACAGCAAGCTGAAAGCTCACTTTTATTTGTGGGTTTGTTTTTTTTTTTCAAGGCAGAAGCAGCCATGGTTTGCTCTGAGCCATGAGTACTAAAAGGCAGCCATATTTTTTCTTATAAATCTGAAATACGGATAAGATGCAGCTTATTATTGCTACTGAAACCTACTCTTGCTTTATTTTTAGAAATCTGTAATAGCTGGAGCATTTGGATTTTTACAGGTTTTTTATGAGTTCTGTCTTTCACTCCTTGGTTTAGTAGATTATTGCAAATGGATCTTTTAAATGTGCCGCACGACTCAAGGCACAACTAGAGAATGGAGTTCTCTGAGTTCAAACTCTTCCTCCCCTCACTCTCTTGACTTCAAAGGTATTTTAAAGTTAACTGTTTATGTGGTTCTTTTTCGCTTTTAAATGTTTTTTTTTTAAAGGGTGAGCTGTATTTATGTCTTGATATTAGTAGCCTCACTGGAATTATTTCAGAGTTGTTGCAATGCCCTTGAACTGCATCAAAGGCTCCCAGTGAAAATCAGAATTAAGTTGTCACTGGGTGAAACCTCTGCCATGGACAAGCAGAAATGGTGTGGCACTCATCTGACTGGTTTGGTGTACAGGGTAAGAGTAACTCCTGCTGATGCCATAACAAGGCTCAACAGAATTAATGAAATGAACACATTGCAGCGGGCTTTTAAAACCCAAACCTTTTCTGTGTATGGTAGATGCTTGGGTGAAAGAATTTTACAGTGTATGGATTAAAAGTATGCATCTTTGTCTGTATTAGCCTGTATTTTTGCAGTTCTAGATGCATCTGGGTATTCTGATTATCAGAATGCATCCTGAAAACTCAAGATTTTCAGTACATACAGCCCATCAGGCATTCTGCATATCCGTAGGGATATATCAAAACAAAGGTGGAGATTTCAGGTGGAAAAGCAAAATATCAGGCAATGTGCAAGTTGAACTTCCACTAGCAAAGCAATTTAATTTTATTTCCAACTCTGTGTTTTATAGTATTTAATTGTTAAAAAAATAAGGAGAGAGGCCTGGACAAGATTATCTCTGGGCTATATTATTAACTTTATATTTAATAAGACTAGTTTTATAGTCCCTGGGATGTTGACTGCAATATGCAGGAGCCTTCTTGTACTTTATACTCTGCACTGCTGGGTCTTAATGGTTTCAATGAGGCTTTGGAGTTTATATTTCTGTAAGTTAAATAAAGTAAGGGAATGGTTTGAGTTCCAGTGTTGTACTTGCAGCTTTCTGCCTCAAAACTTGTTTGCTACAGGGTTTGCCGTTATGGTGACTTTTCCTTCAGAGCAGGAAAGGTTACAGATTCAACCTTTTAAAAATCAAAGCTTAGAACTGACTATGGTGCAAGAAAAATATTGGGCTGGGGTTTTTTTTATATTTATTTATTTATTTTTATTTTCATGTGTTCTTAGGGACTTTGGAGCAGGAACAAAAGCAAAGATTGGTTCAGTTTCAGGGGAAGACAGAAAAAGGAGATTGAACTGAGGTGTTTCAATGAAACATTCCAGTGCAGCCTGCTGAATTTCTGCTCCAATGGGATGTAACTCAGTCACGGAATGTCCACATTCAGGACAAGGACACTCAAAGGAATTGACGGTGCTGTTGACCCAGATTTCCCTATGATGGAAGAACTGGGGGTGGGAACACCAAAGGAGTGTCAACCCCAGCCCTAAATGCAAAATATCAGGGGCAGTCCAAGCGACTTTTAAGAAAAGGGAAGGTGACTAAAATTTTCCAGCATGGGAGCTGCTCCAGGAGCAATGTTGTGCAGCCCATGAGCAGGGACCCAGGTGGGACATGAGTTACCTGAGCCCTGGGCAGGTGACAGAGGTCGAGGCAGGAGTGAGAGCTCAACTCTATGGCTCAGCTGGCTCAGGAGCTCCCTGCTTTCCCTGGCTACAAACGCTCTTCAGGGTTACGGCAGAGATAATAAAAAAATTCTTCTAAAAAAAATGAAACAGCTTTTCTTTTACCCCTGTGTTAAAAAAAAAAAACCCTGCAGGACTCATCTCTAAACCACAGCAGGGAGAAGGGGCAGAGGCAGTGGAATATGGTTTAAAGCTGCAGCAAGTTCGTGTGATTGTGTCCAAACACTGGAACTTGAGGAGCTACAAAGAAGCTGATGAATGACCTTGAGTGTGGCAGTGCTGAGCAGTGTCATGTTCATATGGGGATGGGTTTTATAAGGTCGAGGCAGAGGCTTTCATGTGAAAATAGAGATTTTCATGTAACCCTATGCAGGGAAATTGAGTAGAAAAACAAACTGAAGCGCTGATGATTGGTTGCTACTTTTGGTCTATTTGTTTGTTATGGTTCTGATTGCCATTATTATCACAAGTTTGGTTCATTTATTTATTTTTTTTCCAGGGTATTTTGAAATGTATTGGTTTGGAACAGTCCAACTATACCATGTTTTTGTTTTGTTTGGGGTTTGTAATGACACATTTTATTTTGAGTGATCACATCCATCAGATCTCAAGAAAAAAATGGCTGCTTCCTAGTTCAGAAGAATATGCAAACAGGAGCTTAATTACATCACTTAATATTGACCAAGAGAAAGAAGAAGATGAGCTTGCCAGCTCATTTCCAAAGCATGTTTTGTCCTTTAAGAGGGGAGGGTATGACAGAAAGTTAGGCAGTGCAAAGCAATTAGCATCATTCACATTTTATGTTGCGCTAGCATGGTGCTCTAGCAGCAAAATTCAAACATTCTTTGAATGGGTTAATAAAAGAAGAAATACAGTCGGCATGCAAGAAAAAAGGTTTCCAAGAACAAGCCAAAATATGTCCCATTCTTCTAAATTTATCACAGCCATGTCACATTATCCTTGAGACTGCCAGGAATGTCAATTTTTTTGCAATTTAAAAAAAAATATCTCATTTAGCACCATATGTTTGGTTAATGTGCCTGATATATCCTGCGTATTCTTTAGTCCATCCATTTCTAATACTCATTTTCTTTTTTTCCTCCTCCCCTTGCTAAGCCATATGTTACAATGCTGGTCATTCTGCTGAAGCTCCTTTTGGGAGCTGAGAGCGAGGGGACTCTTGTTTAACCACCCAGAAAAACTTTCAATTCTACAAGTCTCACTTAGGTGAGCAGTCTCAACACTGGAGTTAGTTGTAGGTGCCTGGTGCCTATGAAAATCAGGCCACCTATGAGGTGGCACAGTGTACATTAACTATGAGGAAGGAACTAAAGGTAGCTGGCTAAATATTGAATTAGGTGTTTAATTTCTGGCACCCACGTTGGAGACTCTTGGCTAGTTTTTAAGGGTCTTCTGCTCCACACCTAATGAGTTTTAACGCATTTAGGGGCCCCCAGTCTGAAGGGCCCCTCCTGTGTTGCTCAGGGATGCAGGAAATTAAAAAGTTAAGGCTGAAGGTAGCTTGGGCAGAGCTGGGGATGCATCCCGGGAGGATGGCGCTGCCTTGCTCGGCTTTCCTCAGCATTGGTCCCCGGAGCCAGTGATTACTGGGGACCACAGCAGATTTCAGCACTTCACAGGACCCTGAGGAAGGGGCAGTGCCAGCTCTAAGGACACCCCTGAGTCCCTGCTCTCCTGTCTCTGCTCTCTGGTGCAGGGCAGCAACAAATTACAATCTCCCCCAGCCTGTCTCAGCTGCGCTGGCCGGTGGATAGGGAATGGAGCCAAGGATCCTCCCCGTTCCCTGCCTCTTTCCATCCATCTGCTCTGAGCAAGGAATAAACAAGAACAGCCAGAACACAACGGCTGGGTAACCCAGGTGGGGGTTAAAAGTGTTCCTCACTATTCTGTGGATAGGACTCTTGTCCAAATCACAGTCACACCTGGCACTTTTCAGGAAGCACAGCTTTCAGAATCCAGGTCTGAGTCTCCTCTGAATGTTATTTAGAGTGAGAGAGAAGAAAATCAGACTTTGTCTATTTTCATCTTATGGCAGCTTTTAACTACAGAATAAATGGAGAAGTTAATTGCTAAATAAAAGAAGAAAATAAAGGGATTTGTGGAATAAAATGCAGATGGAAGCCTAAGTGGGTGTGTAACTTACTGTTACTTGTGTTCATGTGATTCTGTATGTATGCCAAACATATATGGTCTGAGCCTGCTCCCTTTAACATAAATCTGCTTTATTCACTGGACAGAGGGAACCTGATCAAAGACCATGATGGTGCTAAATGGAACAAGATGTGTACTTTAGTATTTTTTTCCAAAAGGAAGTATTAATTTGACATCAGTTTTTCAGCTGAGGAGAATTTTAATTGCAGTACACAATAAGCAGAAAATTCAGACAACAATAATCTTGAAACTGTTAGCAGCATTATATTTCTACCAAGGAAATTTGAGTGCTTTTTCAACATTAGAGCTTTCTGAATTTTCATTAATTTGGCATTTCCCTAAACACACGAGTTATTATTTTGTTCATTCCACATCATGCATCACACCCTTCTGCTCAAATGCATAATGCAAGCGCAAATGGGATCCTTGTCCTTGGGAGACTCTGGTTACTGGAGCCATTGGATGTTGAAGTCCCGCAGAAAGACTTTCCAAAACTCTGCACTTCGCAAACCTCCAGCCCAAGTTTAATCAGTGAGTGCACAGGAAAACTTCGTGTTCCTCATCTTCTAAGGGGCACTGGAGCATTGTGGTGGGTTTAATTCCTCTACCTCCTCATGTTTGCCAGTACTAGAAACGCACCACACAAGAGTCTTCCTTGGGTACAGCTAAAGGTCTTCAAATGTTCATGTATGAGGCTGATATATATTTAAATGGACCAGAAAATGATGCGTGAGAATTGAATGCACAAATCCTCCCCAGAACAAACAAGTATCTGCCAACCTCTTTTCCATGTGCCTACCACGTGCCTTACTAAAAAAAAAAAATCAGGATTAACTCTGATGGAATGAACGGAGTCACAGCAAGAGGAGAACAATCCCCCTTCTCTCCAAATCTACACCTGAAAATCCATCCCATTTCACTCGATTAATTACTGACACAATTCTACCTGCACACACGTCACACAACAACTCCATCTCTCGTTAGCTACATTGGTAGACCAGCTCATATTCATCTCCAAAGACCTTTGCATAATTACCCCAATATTCCCAGTATCCCTCTGCCACTAGATGGAGATTTCAGAACAAAAGCTATGAGTGAAACATGGTCTGGATCCTCCTTCCCAAGGCACACTAGGAAAAGGAATCATGGAAGCTCAGGTATTACCAGGTGGACCATGAACTCGACAACATGCAGAACAAACAGATGAAGCAGAAAAACAAGTCGGCTGTTGAAGGAAAAAAACTGATATATGGGAAGCATTTTCCAAGGAATTTTTATCCTTTAGCGTGAATTATTCCAGAAATTCCACTGAAATCAGTACCAACAGAAAGGCTGATCAGCTGCTATGTATTTTTTTTAAATTCCTGGGGAATTCCTGATTTCAAGCCTCTTGAAATGTTGACGGCTACACTCCTGCCAGTCATAGTAAGTCTGTTCTATTTAGTGCTGAGCAAACTTTGTCATCAGCCGAGATACGATCACACTGACTGCCATCCATCAGTTCACTGTATTAATTGCTCCAGTATACACAAAATACAACACAGATGGAAATTCACTCATCCTAATGAAGTGCTCTTTAGTTTCTACGTTCTGAATGGGTACTGGCTCCCCTGGTTGCAGCCGGAGTTACCGTGATCACTGATTAACTACCTGCCAGCGGAGCACCTCGCTTCACAGGGCTAAATCCAGCTTAATAAACACTCATTTTTTTTATTTTTTTTTTTTTACAGAAGAAAAATGAAAGCTCCCCCTCTATCCACTTATCAAACTGCTGCATATGCATCACCAACACACACATCCAGTTTCCTCAGAACCCGACATCTGACAGATCATCAGGAAAACAGAGCTAATCTATCCGTACCCATCAACATCGTATCATAGGTGACTGCCAGATACTTAAGGAGCCATCCAAAAGAAATGTCACAACTCTTTTTCAAGACACTACAAAAGAAATGTTCCAAATAAAATAAAGCAAATGCACGTACAAGTAAATGAGCCAAAGAACTTAATAAAAAGAGATTGATTAAAATGAGGACCAGAATGTTCAAAAAGGACTGAGAGAGAGAGAGAGAGGTGCCAAAGGCGCATTAAATGGATTCAATGGCTTTAGGTTTTAAATGCTTTTGGATTCCTCAGCAATTTTTAGCCAAAAATGATAATTCAAGTTAGAATCAAAATTCTGATGTCACTTTGGGAAAAAGAAGGTTGAAATTTCTCCTTTGCAAATGAGCACAGATCCATTTACGAGGGAGAAATATTAGTTTATCGTGATGGACAACCTCGCCTACAGAATTTTAAAGCCGAGCACTACAATATTCACAAATATTTTTAAATCTCACCCCATGAAAGTCTGCCTTAATTGTTTGGTACAACGTTCTCATAGAGTGTATTACTTTGTCTGTTTGTATCTGTGTTTACAGCATCATCTGGATTGTTTTAGGTCACTTAAGTTAGGCTTCATTCCTGCTCTGCCACCCAAGCAGTTCTTTCAGTAACTAATAAACTAGTACTCAACATCTTACCAATTCCTTCAAAACATAATGTCATGAGTTATATATTTAAAAACTTTAATGAGAAGAGCAATAAACAGCAGGATAACAGTTCAATTCTGCCTTTGTGTTAATGTCAGCTTCGGCATAATTTTCCATTGTATAAATATATATTGCAAGAATAAAAAAAAAAAAAAAAAAAAAAAAAAAAAAAAAAAAAAAAAAGAGTAAATTTCTAATGACGTCTTTAGACATCTCGTCTAAAATTCATGACTACATTTGTTTCATTTCAAATGCTACTTGAGAATTTTTCAGCACACTTGGCAGATTAGATATAGCAGCAGGGACAAACTGCAGCCATCCATAGGAGAATATACCTTTATGTGGGTGCTTTGGGGATGGAACATCTATAGCTGCAAGGCAAAAAAATGCCATCATAAATTTGGATGGCATTTACAAAGCCCTCTAAAAAGTCTTTGCATATGATTATAGCTGAGGTATGATATTTTTGCAAGTAAAAGACCCAGAATAGATTTATGTTTCAACTACATCTTCCTGAGATGCATATGGATCCCAAATTGCGAGTGATACTAAGGGGAATCTTAGCAGCTGAAGAGGATGGAGTAAAATTTTTGGGGTTTTACTTATTTATTTAATTTTCTTAAAAATCATCTGCTCATTATTTGCATGTCATCAAACCATCATTGGCTACCCAGACTATATATAACAATGATGGCTGCTGAACGCCCCAGGCATGAGATGGAGATGGGTAAATATGCAGATTTTCTCAACTTGTGACCTCAGTTACTGCATGGTAATGTTTTCAGATGACTTTTATGATGACAAGACTACGTTTGGTGCTAATATTGGTTTTGAAGATTTAATCGGTGTACACTGCCATTGAACATGTGTTTTAATTGACAGAAGAGCTGTGGTCAGGGTTGAAAATAGCCCAGGTGATTTACCACGGACTGTAAAGCCACCTGATTCCTGCACCATTTGAGGTGAAGAGTTTATAGGTTATTCCAAAGGAAGAAAGAGTTGCAAACTGAATTTGTGTGCATTGTACCAGGGGATTTATAATCTGGCAGGTCGAGGGTGTACTCATGGAACTGCTGTGTTTTGGTATCCAGTGGTTTTAGTGTTTTTACCCTCTGACTTTGACAGGCACAGGACTGAACACCCAGAAATAATTTGTAGCTGACCTACAGCTGCTGTTCTCCTTCCTGGGAATGTCCAGTTGCACACTGGGATGGCACTGGGGACCTGCCACCAGCAGCTCCCAGGCTGAAACCGCTTGCCCACAGGTGATACCAGACTGGTGAGATCAGCCTCCCTTCTCTGCATTCCCAGTGGCTTCAGGATTCCCTGAGGGAAGGCAGTTTGGCTTTGGCATCGCTTCCAGAGGAGCCTGGATGGCCCTGCTGCCTGCAGGTCTGCCCCTGGGAGCTGCCCAAGCCCTCTGTCACCCACTGAGCAGGTGAAAACACACCTGGCAGAGAGGCAGAGGGCTCCCAGGGAAAATCCCCCTGCAAGTTCCGTGCAAACAGGCATGGCAAGGGCAGAGGTGACATGTGAGTGCTCCCTCCAGCGCTGGCACGAGCTCTGTCCTCACTAGACACCGGAGAATCCACACCAGAGGGGGCACCTGGGACATCCCCCCCGACCAACACAAAAACTCTGTGCACCGAGAACGAGAGCATTGGCATTGTTTGAATAAGCACACCCACCATGAAGTGCTCCGCGGTGTTCGGGGTTTCTTAGATATCCTGATTTTATAAAAGAAAGTAAAAGAAGAAAAAAGAAACAAGGTGAGAGAGAACACTATCATATTTCGTAGCAAGCAGGATACTGTGTGAAATCTTGGCCCAGTGAAGTGATAAAGCTTTCAGTTTGCTTAAGGGGAAACTTAGGAACAAATAGTGAAATTACCAAAATACCACATTGCAGGAAATGGGCGCATTTAGGTTCAATTAAGCTGTAAAAAGGAAAATGGCACTTTAGCTTACAAAAACCAAGGGACATGGGGAGCTATCAGAAGTAACTTTACAAGATTTGTGTGCATGAGGATGCTGCTTCACTGGACCAAGAAAGCTACAGTATGGGACAGGATTTTTCTTTTATCAGACACTTTTGCTAGATAGCTTTGTCCAACCTCAGAAACTGCTGCTCTGGCATTATGAAATAATCCTACATAACTTGATCTCATGAGCTTAGGAACACAGAAAAATAGCCATGCCAAATCAGATTACAGGGATCCACCTAGTCCAGAATCCTCTCCCTGACAGTGGGAACTAATGGATGCCTAGAAAAGAGTAAAAAAACCAGGGAAAGCATACAGTGGTAATTCTCCAAAACACTCTCCCAAATGATTTGTGATTCAAGGACTTCTAGGACAAAGTTGATATCATGGTATTGAAGCTGCTCGAATCCAAATGCACAGATTTACATTCCCCCCTCCTCCCCATTTTTTTATTTTTACTTTTTTTTTTTGGATTTCTACCCCCATGAGATTTCTACCAGTCACACAGAAAAGGTTTCACAGTTTGGTGCTGGCAAGTCCAGCGTTCTTGCCACTAACTCAGAATGAGCTAACAGCTTTCAAAAGCCCAATGATGTTATGTGTATAAGAGCATCCAACACTTTTTCCTACGTAAAAAAAGTGACATGTGTGCTGAGGTGCTCTAAGTGTAAATACTTTGGGAGATTTTTTTTTATCTTTTTTTTTTTTTTTTTAAAAAAAAAGCAAAAAAAAAAAAAAAAAAAGGCAAGAATCTGGCTGTAAATTGATATTAACATTTTTCAGTATATGTGTAAAACACATGTTTCAGAAGAATAGAAGAGAGAAACTGTCACTCACTGGGAAGCTTTAGAGCTATCTGGCTCCCTGGGAAACTGCATGCAACTATTCTGGTGTCCAAGGGTTTGACCAGTGAGTTTCCTCTTCCTGCAAAGAATGAATGCAGAAGTAATAGAAAGTCTGAGGGGGAAGATTTTAGCAAATGGCTAAAGATAATCCTATTCTGCCCACTCCAGCAGGTAGGAAGCAGGTGGTGGTGGTGGAAGAAAAAGGGTGGGAGAGGAGAAAGGGCTGTGTGTCCCTCCCAGGAGCTGGCACAGGGAAGGGCAGGAGGCTGCACTCGGGGAGACCCAAAGCCCGGCAGCTCAGCCCGGTGAAATCCCTTTGTGTGTGGCCACCCCAGTCCCAGCAGGGACACACAATGTCAGCACGTTCTGCTTTGATTCCCGGGGCCTGCTGTGACTCCCTTCCAGGACAGATCTTGGGGACTGAAACTCAGCAAATCACATATTCCCAGACAGGAGCACTGGCTTCTTCAGCATCCTGCTCAGTTTACTATCCACTGTTGAGGGGAGGGTTTTTAGAAAGTTTTAATTTTCTAATCGAATCGGTGCCTACACATGAATTTTTTACTTCATTTATTAAAAGAATCAGTAAAAGTTGGGGTCTAAAAAAAAAAAAAAGCTTATCCTTACATTTTTGATGGCATATTGACTTTGTAAGAGTCTACAGGCAGGAGTGATGTATCAGGGAGTCCCTATTACTTTACTTAAAGCAAAAATTAGAAAGTGATCGGAAAGTTTTATAGAGGAGAGCAGAAACATAATTTTAAGCCTCTTAAAATTGCCTGAACTGTGAAATCAAGTAATGAACACTAGAAAAGAATCTGTCAGCTGGAATCAAGGCTTAGACTAAGTCAGCATTTTCTTCCTAAACCTTATTATGGCAAAGATTTTTCATCTCTGCACTCTGTTCAGCCCAACAAATAAACCGTCTTGACCTCCACCTGTTACCCGGTGAAGTTCACTGTCATCTCTGACTAAACCCTTTTCTTTCCCTTCAAAGCCCTCAGCACCACTGAGAAGGTGGGAAGACACAGCTGTGCACTGACTCAAATTGATACCAGTTCATAACCAGACAGCGTTTCACAGTACAAATTACAAGCAACAGAGGAGAAGGGGAGGGGAAGGGGAAAAAAAAAAAAAAAAAAAAAGGAGGAAAAAAAGAAAATGTAGTGCCAATGAATTCTGGAAGGGGGCAACATTTTTCATCCATTTAACAATGAGATTTTAATAAAAAGAAGTTCTTTTTTTTTCTTTTTGTTTGGTTTTTTTTTTGTGTGTGTGTGATATTATGGACTAGCATTTATGAGGCAAGAAACATTTTGCTTATGCCATAACAAGGAACCTGTGCTAACACCACAGAGGAAGGACTGAAGAACATAATGGAAGCTATTTGTGTTGCTTTTACATTTCATAACTTGAGTGCATTACACCGGTTCAAAGAGGTTCAGCTTCAAATTGCACGTAGGTTTCTCAACTTAGGAACAAGTCACAGCTATATAATGCAACACTGCTAAACAAAAAGAATTAAATATTATGGAACACAGAACAGCAAGAAATGTGTCATGAGGAAACCCGTGGAGCTGCTGCAGTCGTTTCTTCATGTATATCATCGTGGCAAAAACCGTGTGAGAAGCTTTCTAATACAAAGACATATCAGAAAAAGCCATTTCATATAAAGTTGGACTTCTCTGGGTGATTAATGCTACGTTCAACAAAGGAGACAGTGTCTGTCTAATTACATTAAATACTTATCTTCTAGGGATTGGCAGGGTGTTTCTGCTCAATGTCACTTTTCATGACAATGTAATGATAGATCCGTTTACTTACCAGTGCCATTAGCAAAAATTGTACTGTTTTCTCAACTGCCCTCATATCACAAAAATATTTGATTAACATACTGCAGCTTATCTAATACTCTAAGCAACATATTCTGCATAGTTTTCTCTCTATTAAAAGAACAAGATTACAGCTTGTAAAATTTTTATTGCGCTCACACAGAAATAAATGAATAATGTGTGATAATAGTTCAAGTACCTTACTAGTTCACAGAACAGGTTTATTTGATTTAGAATATTAACTTGTACTTAAAATATTAAGATTCTGGGGGAAACAAGCAAATAAACAAAGTCAGTACTTTGAGGCTCTACTTCCCATCCAGGCTTTAGTTACTATTTCCTTTTCATTTCAGCACATGTTTTGAAACTTTTAATACCTTAGGGGAGGGGGGGGAAAAAAAGAAAAAAGGGAAAAAAGCTTTCATTCCTTTGCTGAAAAATAGATATGGCCATGTCCCAAGTCTTTAAAATTCACCACATCGTGAACTGACTCTTCGGAGTCAGGCTACTGTGCCAACATGCAGCAAACAATAACCCTCTGGAAGAATGTACCCAGCCAAGGCAGTTTATATAGTAACAAGATAATTTCATAAACTTATATTGAAGAGCGAGGCCGTGATGTAACATTCTAGCAGTATATATCAGCTACCTGATATTTACTAACAAGGTTAAACTCCTATCTGTTTGTCTCAGCACTCTTCATAATTCACTTTTTAATGGATGGACAGGAAAAGTCAGCAGCGTATGGCACAGATCATTTTTGAAATAGGACAAGACAGCTTACGGCAGTAGCTGCTCCAAAACACCCTTCCTGTTCCCACACAATCACATCAAGCCTGGACTTTGCAACTACAGCGCTTCAAATCTACTCATAAATCCTCCAGGGGTGTGTCTCCATTTCCAAGTAAACTGGTAAATTTGAAAAACAAAGGATCCCGAGGAGGAGGTGTCACCGCCAAGTGGTGCCACCTACGGAGCATGGGTTCTCAGCCTCTTGGGATGGTATTCCTGGGCAGGAGAAGGCTCATGGGGAGCTGCCTTCCTCCCGTGGGGAGCCAGGACATCATCCCCATTTTGTTCCAGCTCCTCGCGCTGCCGTGAAATGGACGCACCAAAAACGACTCGTCCGAGGCACAAATCGACACAGCCATGCAGAATCGACCAAAACTGCCTGAAAATCCCTTGCAAGTGACTCTTGCGGCGAGAGTGTGACACCACAGCCAACTGCCACATGCGACTCTCCAAATTAATAATGGATTTAGGATATTCATTCCCTGAGCTGCGAGGGTTCGGGGTGTGTCTGCAATTATCGAGATATAAGTCTGACACACATTATCCTTCTATCAATGTCATTTCCCTTAGTAGCCAACAGATTATCAGCAGCTTTGTGATATTCCAGGTGTCAAAGAAGAATTAAAACCACAACAATTGCACAAACAAAGGGACAAAAGATGGGATACGTGTTTCTGAGCCCTGCATATCAATTTAATATGTGCAGCTGACAATGATGCAAATGTCCTCGGGAGAGAGGCAGCAAGATCCGTGCCCAAACATACACACACCACTGTCAGCAAGATGGCAGGGAACAGAAGCAGTAGGATTCCCAGCCCAGGACACATGCCTCAGCAGGCAGAGCAACCCAACGAAACAATCCTCTGGTTGGGGAGAATTTTGGAAGCACCTGATATGGAAAAGGGCCCTAAACAAGCCAGATGGTACTTTTAGCTGGCAGCAGAAAGTAGGAGACAGCCAAAAACATTACAGCATTTCCCCAAGAGGCCAGCAAATCGATTTTTAACCATTTTTTTTTAAAGTGACGCTATGAATATGAAAAATAATGTTTCGATGCCTTTTTAAATCGCTAATTTTATGGGTAATACACTTACAGAGGACACAACTGGAAGAGAGGAGAAAGCAATGGATTTTGACTTTCCCAGGGTGGTTGTATATTTGACATCAAGTTTCTATTCAGTCACTGCCACTGTTTACTCAGAATTAAGTGTCAGTTTTTGTTCTGGGTTTTTCACATAACATTAAAGAGAAAAATCCAGCAAAAGTAGAGAAATAGCACTGTAAAATCACAATAGCACAACAGTTCACAGGGCATGGGAGAAATGTGGTTTGTAAGCCTGCTTTGTCCTCTTAAAACCTTTCCCCCTGCAAATGAATGGGTTCCTAGATGATCATTTTTTTAACAGAGGACAAACAATTTTTTAAATTTTTAAAATTTTTTTAATACTTGCAAGGTACCATTTGGCGTGGGATTTTCCTAAGAAATACAGCAGTTTGGGGGAGGGAATCTTTTAATTTTTAAGACCTGCAAAGAGCCAGGATTTGCAATTCTGCCTGGATGACAGGGGTCTTTGCAGGGATCAGTCTGATGTCAGATGTCGAGCGGTCTCTCTCTCAGCCAGGAGCAGCTCCTTGCAGAGCACGTTTAGGCTACGTGTGGCCAAGGGGATTTCACTCAAGGATGGAGAACAGAGGTGGGTTGTAGGGACTGAGAGGGCAAAGAGAGGCAGAGGAGTCATGAACTGAGTGGGAATGAGCATCACCCTCTGTCTCAAAGCTGCTCCTCACACGTAGGATTGGCCACGCTCCGAGGAAGAGTCAGGATGATGCTTTATTTCCATTTGCTGTTGTTTTGTTTAAAAGTAAAAGCAAGCCCTAAGACAGGGTTAAACCTGGACTACATCCAAAGTGCTTTCTCCTGTTCAGAGCAAGGTAGTGCATTAGTGTGCTGCATCATGGATAATATTCCTGGAGACAAACGTGGGCTACTGCAATAAAACACTAAATGTGAAGAAAGATAATCCATACATTTATATTTTGGAAATCTTGTTGATTGTAAATCCTTTTTTTAAAAAAAATAAATAAAATTATTTCCCTCCTATAAGTGGAACCCAAGGCTTTGCCACCAGCCCTTGCTGAGTCCCATTTTTCCCAGAGTGCTGCTCTTGGGGCTGCAGGTATCACTTCACTTGTCTGGATTTTCGGGGGTTCAAAGATCTGAATTTTGGGCGTTCGCAAATCTATTGAGGCAAATGAAGACTATGCACAAAGCAGTAAAACAGCCTATAATTTTCCAGCTAATTTTAGTAAGAGGATCTCTTATGTTATGCTTTTTGGTGTATATCACACTAAAAATAGCAGCGAGCACTGATGTAAGGGAAGAGCAGAAAGGATGATGTCAAGTAGGGCTGTGCCAGGGTGGAGAGGACAAGCAGAGGTGGAGGATGTTGTGGAT